TTGTTAAAGCCCAAATTGTAATATACAGGTCAATCTATTTAGGTGGTGAACTGAAAAGCCATGAGGAATTTCAAAACGACTTTGATGAGCATGTGATCAACAAGCATTTTTAATTATACAAATTTAAGCATTTAAATTAATACCATATTGTTCTTGCCAAAAGCAATGATATTACACAGTGATATAAAGACAACAAGTTTATAGCTTTTTGTTTTATTATATAGCTGCAGGGTTTGAATACATATTTTTGTTTGTTTTATTCAACTTTTAACCTAATTATATATTTTAATACTTCAAGAATATTCTAAACATTCTTGGTACATTATCTCACAAATTACAATGCAAGTATAGTAGCTAGCAAGCATACACTTACAATACTCTAAGAGGAAAAGCAGATTATGCATTCTTTTGTTTAGCCAGGTCAAATGAGACAAAGATTTTCCTTGATGCTTTTGAGAACTCTCAAATAATGTTTAACCTCCTCAAGGATTAATTTTTCTATGTTGAAATACTTTTCTATTAAATTTTAAGCAGTCTAGATGTTATCACGTGAAACAAGCAAACACTCCTCCCCACACATACATCCCATTCTATCTAGAAGTTGATTTGTCTTCTATAACACCAGTGTACGAAGAATGAACCAGGGACTTTGAAATGATATGAATAAGACAACATCTATGTTTTCCTCTTTGACATGAATGTTTTTAAAGATTTCATATTCTTCAGATTTGTTGAACACAGTACTATTTTTTTCCTCTTCAGTTGACTTTTGGTTTTGTTTCAGTGGTAAAGCCAAGTATTGGAGGGGAAATGGATTGTATCTCCCTAACCGACGAATGCAGTTCTAAAATAGGGAAGACTTGAATATCCTTAAACAATCATCTCTGGATGTTCTCAAAATCATGGTCCTCAGTACCAGGTCCTGCAGAGCAGCTGATGAATACATACTTTCTGATGAAAGAATAAATTTTACTATTTAAAAGGTCAATTGATAAAACTGCCAATAGATTTACACAAGGTACCTCCAGTCCATGGTACATTTGTCAGCAATAAAATTACCTTCACACCTCTTTTGACTTTTGTCACTAAAAATAGCAATCTGATAAAAAGTGTCTCCTCTTCTTTTACTCCAAACTACATGTTTCATAACTCCCTTCCTCAGATACATGTAAACATTGTGGGTGCCAGAAATCACTTTACTCTTTCCAGAAATGGAAGCCCAAAATGGTTTAGACACTGTAGAAGCACAAACTCAGTGTGAAGTTCAATTGTTTGTAGAGAGAAAAAAATAATAGACAAAAAGTACACAGCACATGGGGGAAAGCGACACCAGAGAGGGAGGTTCACTGTAACCATGAAGAGAGGTACACTGCCTACTCATACCTCGCCTCTAATGGAAATCACCATTCTGGCCATTCTCCAAAGCAAGAGGTTTTCACTGTGCCTTAAATGTCTGTTTCAGTAACAAATAGTTTTACTTAAATTATAATTTTTACCTCACTCCTCCTATAGGACCTGAGTATCTAGGAAATGCATTGACTGCCATTCATTTTTTGAATTTCGTTTATTTAAATATTTATAATATTCAATGTATATTACGTTTATGTGAAATTATTTTAAAATTTCAAGCTACTCATTCTTTAGCAATCATCAAAACAGAACCAGTTTTGGAATTGATACCTTAATTTTTTTCTATTTACTTTATATTTAAAATCAATCCAGAAAGAAGTTTACTAGTGGCACAACAGAGATGCAAGAACATTAAGATAAACATTTTGATTCATGAACTCATTCCAATTTTATTCGATATAATGTAGAGTCACTTGAGGTGATACTGATTTAGTCAATGAATTTCAAATTGCCACTTCTAATATTAATGTCATTCAATTTTAGCTTAATGATACTACTGTCCCTAGCAAGCTATTTGTACAAAGAGATTTTTCAGAGAATTTATGATATTCCTAATAATCAGTTTGTCTTACATGTTGAGTAGAATCATTCTTCTAAATAGTACTGTTGTCTAACAGTATAAGAACATTCTCCGGAGTTTCTGTTATGTTCTACAGAGCAGAATACCCAGAGTTCCAGGTGTATTAGCACACCTCATTCCAGTTTGTATTCAGAATCCTAAGGGAACTTAGAAGTGATTGTGTACAACAACTATATTACTACAAGAACAATCAAATCAAAAGTCCTTTTCATGGTGTACCAAGTTTAGTACATTATTACAAATTATGATTAGACAATTATGTAATGTAAATTTTGCATTAAAAAAAACCTGGCTACAGAATATCATCAGAAAATGGAACATGGATGATAGTAAAACCATTAGGGRTATGCTATATCAGCACAGAAACTAATAAATGTTGCCTGTGGTTGAATTTAGGAAGGAACAAGAAAAATGCACTTGGACAATTAAACACGAACACAAACAATTTTCAGAGTTGCCTCAACATGATCAGACAGCACTAAGTGATCTAACTTTGTCTACAGATATCTGTACATAATCAAGCAAAATTTATAGACATCTCCCATGAAATGTTAAAAAAGCCAAAACCATTAAAATTTATAATTATAATGATAAGTATAAAACATCTACTGAGTTAGAAAATGTTTCAAATTGCTATGGAAGATGTGAAAGTGGAATACAAGTTTACCACCTCATTATTACATCCAATCAAAATCCCATTTCCGCTCAAGTTTCTAAATCCAGAAATCACACACCTTGTTAGTGTCCTAATATCCTACAACATAAAATTTAATGGATGACTTAACTGGATCACCAAGAACTCCAGGGATACTAAATTTGAATAAGAATTATACAAATTGACATTTGTAAAACAGTTTAGTTTCATTAGATCAATGGCAGGTCTACCAAGTGAAAAATATAGTTTTCAGTTGGACTTGGTGGTGTACACCTGTAATCCCAGGAGCTCAGGAGGCTGAGGCAGGAGAATTGCAAGTTTAAGGCCATTCTCAGCAACTAACCAACTTAGTGAGATGCTGACTCAAAACAAAACATAAAAAGAGATGGGGATATGGCTCAGTGGTTAAGCACCCCTGGATTCAATCCCTGGCACAAAAAAAAAAAAAAAAAAAGAACCCACTACGGTTTTCACATAAACACCTGACTTCCCATAACTTAGACTATCTCAGAAAGCCTGTAAGAATAAATAATCACTGTGATACTTCTCTATCTTACTTCTAGAACTCTGTGGCAATTCAAATTCCCCTTGTTACATGCGGCTTTAAAGCTACAAAGACTCACAACTCTCAGATGTTGTCAGTTGTAGACCAAGAATATTAAGTGAGGTTACATAATTGGTTAGACTTACAATTATACGGAGGATCCAACATTAATTCAAAGAAAAAAATTTAAATATATAAAAAATTATGTCATTTTACCTTTGGCAGAGGGTTTTTCAGTTTGAATTTGATGACTATATGTACTGTGAGTATTTCTTTAACCAGTATTTACAGTCAGCTTTAGAGTCCACAAACGTAGATAACTTAATTCTCCATTATACAACCCTAAACTAAATGAGGCTAGGTTTTTCCAACCTAAAAGCAACATTAAAGGTTTCTTAGAGGTTTTCCTAATGTAAGGTATACAAAAATTCAGAGAGGTAAGTATCTTAAACTAGATATAATCAATGTTAAGACACTGTATATTTTAATTAATATAGGTTTTCCAGCCAGAAATAGATTTTCATTATATTGGCAAATACTCTAGGTAAATTTAGAATAGCCCAGAAATGGAGAAAAAAATCTACCATATTCTTTACTAGGCTTAATATAGATCATGAAATTTAATAATGAAAAAGCCAAACTACGAACATTAATGAAGAGTTTCAATGTTAAGAACCCTAGCTGTAAAAGGAGGATTCAGCTGATGTCCCTTCAGCCTTCACCACCACAGTTCAGGTTGCCATGCAATAATAACTATGGAGACTACACTACATATCTCCTATGTACGGCTACCACACGCAGAGATTCAATCCAGCTGTGTCTTAAACAGCTTTGTCTCCAATCCCAAATGTGGGTGTGGAAATGAAGCACTGAGAATTCTCATTCATCCGTGGTGGGGATGTGAAATGGTATAGCCACTTTAGAAGACAGTCTAGGAACTCACAAAGCCAAGCGTGGGCATATCACATAATCCAGCAACCATGTTCTTAGGCGTTTACTCAAATGAGTTGGAAGTTTACATCCCTACTAAACCCTGCATGCACAAATGTTTATAGTAGCTTTGCACGTAACTGCCAAAAATTGGAAATAATCAAGATGTTCTCCAATATGTGAGCAGAAAAACAAACTGTGGCATAAACATACAATGGAGTATTATTTAGTATTATAAAGAAATGAACTATCAAGCTACGATAAGATATGGAGGATCCTTAAAGTGTATTAAGTGAAAGAAGCCAGTCAGAAAGTTACATACTGTATGAGTCCCACTATATGTCATCAGGTGAAGACAACTATGGAGACAGTCAAAAGATCATAGAGGGAGGGTGGGGAAAACAGGTGGAGCACAGAGCATTTTTAGAACCTTGAAACTATTTTTTATGCTACTATTCTGGTAGATAATGACACTATGCATTTATTAACCATAGAACCATGAAACAAACAGTAAACCCTAATGTAAACTCTAGATTTTAGTCAATGTATTAATATCGGTTCACCAACTATAACAAATGTACCTCACAAACAACAAATGTGAATTACACAAACAGGGGGTGGAAACTGTACTTTCTCACAACTTTTCTATGAACCTCAAACTAATCTTTAAAATAAAGTCAATTAGAAAAATAAGAACATGCTCATGAACTAGCTATAATCATAAACAAATTTATGTAAAATTTTAAATAATATGAAAAGCAAATACAAAAAGTGAATGACATTTTCTCCAAAACAAATACATGGTGATCAACTATAAGATGAAAAAAAGGGCAACATTAATGATAATATTAAAAAATTTTAAAAATCTGAAATATTCTTACCTGTCCTGTGACTGTTCTTCATACATCCTCTCTTTGCCTTCTTTAAAAAGTCTTATTGCTCGTTTTGACTTCTTCATTAGACTATCAATGTAAATTTTAAAATACTCATTCTCACTCAGTTGGGCAAGTTTCTGGTTGTCATCATATTTGCTCAATATGAGTCGCAAATGCTGATATGTATCAGGTAAAATATCAAGTATATAAGGTGGACTATTTTTCAATTGAAGTTTGGGATTTTGGCACAGTCTTACCTAAAAACAAAGATAAAAATAAAATATTCTCAAATGAATCATGACTGTTTTTCTTCAAAGAAAAAGGAGAAATGAATAGAACTTGCCATATTTCTTCATTTTCCATAATATTAATTATGATATTAAGTTACTAACTCCTGTTTACAAAGAACTAGCAAATTTTCACGTTAGTTTTAATACAATCAAATCCTATTCTCTTCTTTTTCAGTGCAGACTTTACTTATACCACATCCTTAAACTTTCAACCCCTAAAATTTAATTATCTTCTACAATGTCTTAAGTACAGAGTTTAACAGAATTCCAGTGTACTGATCACTGTATACCACTGATTCCTTTCTTTTTTTTTTTTTTTTAATGAAAACAAGGAAATAGACCTTATCAGCTAGCAAACCAGGTCCCACATTTAGACATTATTTTACTACACTGAACTCCCAGCTAAAGCTCTCTCATAGATTTTAATTAATGTTTTGATATAATGTTTCTCTACCCTGAGGAGAATAAAACAAAGAGGTACAATTTTAACAACTGAGTTATTAAGTAGTTAAATGGGTGTCAGGTCAGAAGGAGTCTTTTCCGCCTCCCCCATCTTCTACTAGGCCTATAAACATTAAGATGTAACGGCCCAGTCACTGCAGCAGATGCCACCCAACCACAGGGGCATTCAAAGCTGCCTGCAGAACTGAAAATGCCTCTGCCCTCAGAAAAGGGTGTAGTCACTTCCACATGCTCATGTGATTTAGCCAAGAGTAAATAAGCTCAGATCATTTTATCCTTCCAACTGGAATAGCAAGAACTGTCCAATTCCAAACATTGCCTCTGATACATGGATACTCACACACAATAAGGCAAGGGGTGGGTGGGTAGAAATTCACTGGATTATACAAAGGGGAATGAAGCAGAGGATGGGGGGTGGGAATAGGAAAGACAGAATGAATGGGACAGAACTTTCCTATGTTCATATATGAATACACCACGAGCGAAACKCCACATCACGTAAAACTGAAAGAATGGAATTCTAATTAGAATAAATTGTACTCCATGTATGTAAATTATGTCAAAATACACTCTACTGTCGTGTGCATCTAAAAAGAACAACTAAATAAAAAATAAATGGTTATACAGAAAATACCTATCAAAAAAATTAAAAAGAACCATTCAATTAAACATTCCTTAAAACAAAATCTTTGGGAAATGCACAAAAGTACACATAGTGTAATAGTGCAGTAATTCACAAAAGACAAAGAGTACACAAAAAGTCAGATTTACTGAGAAAATGGTGAAGTGTAAGCTTCTGTTCCCATGTATGCATGGCATTCTTCTAAGGTCCTCATAATATTTATTTATATATAAATATACATAAATAAAATATATAAATAATATATACTTTTTAAACTTTTTAATAGTAAAATGTTTTAAATATAATTGATTAAAATTTGTCTCCTTCCAGTATAACTTTCCTTATATCAAACTTTATCCCCCATTGGGTGGACTGGACTGACCAATGGCATTTCTGGTATCTTGCTGATGAGAAGCTGAGTTGGACCTTCACATTTTGGGTTTAGTGGAAGCTGTATGTAAGATGTGCAGTCACTTCTATAAAGAAATTATTGTCAGCAGTCCAAAATAAGAAAGGCACAGAAAGAAACTGATTTCATTTATATAAAGAATGTAAAACTTACACATATAAATAGAAACAGAGTAGCAAGGAGGAGGAAGAAAATGGGGAGAAGCAGGTGAAAGGGTACATTTGCTAGTTAAGTAGAATGAACAAATCTAGAGATCTAATACACAGCATGAGGAGAGTAGTTAATATCACCTTATATGTTGACAAGTTGCCAGGAGAATAGATTTTAGGTGTTTTCATCACAAAACCAAAGGTAACTAATTATAGAAGGTAATTGGACATGTTAATTTGTCTTACTGTGCATATAAAATATATTGTGTACCTAAAATGCATTTTTTCTCAAAATTTAAATTATATATATAAAGAATGGTTCCAGGAATATTTCAAGTGCCTACAGTGCCTGCTATCTATGATAGCAGAAGAAAGGTCCAATTCACCAAGGATCGGAAGTTATGCGTGAGTAATAAAAGAGAATCAAAAACCATATCCAGGAGTAGTGGTATATAACTGTAATCCCAGCAACTCAGGAGGCAGGAGGAAAGCAAGTTCAAAGCCAGCCTCAGCAACTTAGGAAGACCCTAAGCAAATTACTGACACCCTGTCTCAAAATAAAAAATAAAAAGGGCTAGGGATATGGCTCAATGTTTAAGCCTCTCTAGGTTCAATTCCTGGTATCAAAAAAAAAAAAAACCAGAGCCAAAAAAACTAGTTAGATTATGTTACTGGTATCTGTAGATTTATCAGCTTTAAATTTTTCACTATGTGTTGTGAAAAACTTCACAACTTTTATATGAGAGTTTCATCAAGCTGAAAAATTCGAGAAAGAAATTCACTTTCATATCCAATTTTGTATTTCACTTTTGTATCTGTTATCTTTAGAAGGTTCCTCCGAATGGTAAGGGTTTTAATTTTCAAAAAACATGAATCTTCCCCTGGATACTCACAACAAATGCCTAGGACAAACAGAAAAAAGTTGAACCATAATCATTTCAAGAACCACAAACACAATCAATTAAGGTAACAGCAAATAAAAAAACAATTTTTATGTTATCCCATTGCTTTCTTTAAGAAATTATAGCATAGGGAAGAGGAAGATCTGGATCAGACTACCAAGGATCAGCCTTTAAATTAAGACAACTAATTCTCACATTAACCTAGGGCATTATCATATCATACCTTCCACTTTACATATAGTGTGTAAAATGGAATTCTTTAGCACATAGTATATAACTAATAAATGAATGATGGATGTACTGACCAGTTGAATTATTCTGGAGGAAATGTACAGACTCATACACATATAATGTTTTTTATCTAATGTATCATATTTTATTTTCATAATCATATTCTACAAGTATTCAAATTAATAACCCAAAGATACAGGTTTATTTTAAATATAACAAAATTATTTTGATCTCTGAAAAATTTCTCAAAAGGTAGGATGGCATCTCATTTATTAAATAACACAAAATCTTTATTAATGTATAAAGCTTTTCTATCACTTTTGTACTTCTGTGATACATTGMTATAACTAGGAAAGCTCATTGTGCCCAAAAGACTGATATAAAGAGGCTGATTCATAGTGGGAGAGGGAGGGGGAACATGGGAGGAATAAAGGAACTCTAGATAGGGCAGAAGGGTTGGAGGGGAAGGGAGGGGGTTTGGGTTAGAAATGATGGTGGAATGTGATGTACATCATTATTCAAAGTATGTGTATAAAGACACAAATTGGTGTGAATATACTTTGTATACAACCAGAGATATAAAAAACTGTGCTCTATATGTGTAATAAGAATTGTAATGAATTCCGCTGTCATATATAAATTTTTAAAATAATAAATAAAGATACAAATATGTCTGTGATTTAACAAATCCTGCTTGAAATAGGATATGGTTTCTCCATTCTTTAAACCAAAAGATACTATCACAAGTACACAGAATTTGAAGAATACTACTACCAACTTCCTAAAGCAGACAGAGTTTAATTTCAGTAACATGTATTTGTACATGTCACATACTGACTAATCATTAACTTGTAGTTAGTGGACAAAGCAGCTTCAAATTCATTTCCTCCACTGGTCATTTTTTTAAATGACTAATGAAAAATTTCTGTCAGGTATTTTTTCAGACATTAAAAAAACTGTTCTTTGAAAGATATTTTTAAACTTTAGGGCTATTCATTCCACTATTATTTACCTGGTCTTTTCCTCATTTGCTTTATTTAAATTTTATTTCCATGTTGGAATGTATTATTTCATTGGGTAAAACTATTTAAATAACTATTATATATCAGGTACTAAGCTTAGTGCCAAGAAATTATAGATGACTAGAATATACTTCCTGCCTTAAGGAGTCTGGCAGAAAAGACCTAGTTCTCTATAATTAACTTAGGAACAATGTAATTCTTGCTCTAAGGGATCTTAATAAAGATCCCATCCAATTCATTCACTTTCAGATAAGGAAACTAAGAACTACAAAGATTAAGGAACTATTAAAAAATCATTAATTCAACACAAAAGCCTGCATCTTCTGAATCTCAAGCTGATCTTTCTAACTATATTACAATTTAATTAGAATCAGGCATATAATTAATGGTCCCTTCTAAACTCATTTCCATTTTTATTTTATTCCATTTGTAAATTTACATGAACTTCAGAACCCATTTGTTAACTCAACAAAGGTTTATTTTATATATCAGGCACTGTTTTAGGCAATAGGAATACAGAGAGGAATAAATCACAAGACCTGCCCTCAAGGAATTTTCTAGTGAGAAAGCCTTGAGGCTTAAGAAAGAATTATAGGAGAATTTAGGACCATGATAAAGGAGAGTACAAAGTGCCACAGGAGAAAAGCAGCAACTTACACAAGTTCATAAGACCATCAAGAAAAGCATACCTAAATTTGGAACAAAACATTAAAAAAATAAGAATATTCCAGAGAGAGCAGTGTGAAAGGCTTTAGAGGCATGAGAGGGCAAAACATATTGAGAGAGTAAAAGATAGAAGCATGGGAAGGCTGTAGGTAAGTGGCACAGGAGATCTGAAATAGGCTGGAGTTGGTTCTTCAAGCCTCTGTGTGCTACACTGTTTTCTAAATTTGCACTTGGAAAATACAGTGTGCAATGCTGAACTTCTATATGCCACTGAGTGTGCAGTTCATCAGTGGGATTACTATTAAACCCTGTGACTTATGACGGCTCCTGCCGAAAATGAATAACCCTACACCAGGACTATGACTTCAAAGCAAGTCAAATTCAATTCGATTCAATAAATATTTATTGAGTGCCTGTTATGTTCAAGGAACTGAAAAAGCCAGGGAAAGAAAAAAAATGGCTTTTCTAGAAAAAGTATATTAAGGAGAAAAATCAAGCTAAACA